GGTCAAAGAAGACAGTCTCTGCAGTAGATGGATTTTGCTTTTTTATTTATCCCCATCTCCTACTTTAATATGCAACAGTTATGTTCCTTTCTTGTTTGATCTTTAATTCATTGGTTCAGTGTTTAAACTTAAACTTTTCCTGTCAACTATTAAGCTGAATATGGAAATTAGCAAATGTTTAAGCATTACTTTGTTTTTCTTTAGTTGAATGGGGAGAAAATCACTCTTATACTCAATTTTAAGAGGAACTTTAAGTACGCCCTCATATCTGATTTTTTCCAAACCCAGGGAAGGACAAATGACTGTATAAAGCCATTATTTTGAGTATTGAGAATGTAGGACAATCTATGGAGCACTTTAAGAAAGTTGTTATAATTTCTGTTCTTTCCTTCATCATTTAAAATGTGTATTTTAGTCAATGTTTAATAGTATAGTAAACTAGGGTAGTACCTGTGCATAATTTATAAATGCATCTGGGAGGACATGCCCCAGATTTTCTGTAAATAGTGTGCATAATCAGAACAGTGTGGAGCACCATTCTGTGACACAGAGACACTTTAAGTGTTACGGGACTTTCCTGTCTATGGGACTGTTTTGGGGAATCAGTGAGTTAAGAACAGCCTGGCACACAGTAAGCACTGTATATTTTGCGTATTACTCACTGTTGTTATCCCCTAAGGATACTTATTTATACTTAATTCCTCCCCAGTATGTGAGAAATAGTCACATGTAGGTATGTAGTAAACCAAGAATTTTCTTTTCCTGTGAAGATACAAGTAAGGGAAAGGAAATAAAAGCTAGAGAAAAGATGGAATCAGGATCTTGTGATTTTATTCATTTTTTTTTTTTAGTAGGTGGAGAGAAAGTTTTATTGTTAACTTCTCTTTGGTAGCCAGTGGAAAAAGAGACACACAAGGAGTTGCATAGGTGATGTTTATAAAAGACAGAAATCTTCCTTCCTGGTGCTGGGTCTGGAGAGTCATACTGCCTTGTAGGTCTTCTAAAGGGGAGAAGCCCAGACTGAAATCCAGGTCCTCTGAGCTCTCTACACTCTGCATCTCTTGTCATTTCCATAGCTCAAAGAGAATTCTGCTGTGTGTGGCTTATGTTTGATCTCACTGGCCCTTAGTTCCTAAAAATTCTGGATTCATAATGTAATCCATTTAGTTTTCTTCTTGATATTCTTTTAAACCTATAATTTGATTTAGATCCCACCAAAGTATTTGGCCCTAGACCTACACTGATTTTGTTTTTTCTAATTTGATTTTAAGTGTACTTTCAACATAAAAAGAGTCTTCAAAAGGCAAAAAAGGAGTAAAGAAAAACTGAGGAGGAGAGGGAAAAGAGTTTTATTGCAGAGCCTTTCCTACAAAACATTTGATGACTGAGTTGACTATTCTTAACAAGGCAGACTTCGTGAACTTCAAACTATTTTTTAGCCACAGATAGTTACAGAACTTCTTTTATGTGTCGTGCCTGTGCAAGCAAAGGGGGCTTCAAAAGGACACTAAGTGAACAGTGAGATAAACTGGTTTTGGATATGCCACGAACCCTGTGCAGTCAATCTCTTCCAAGTCTGTCTCTGTATCTGTGAAGCAGGGTAGATGGCTCCCAGCCTGGGCACCTCTTCTCACTGTGGTGATGATCACATGTGTACCCTAACACCTCAGGAAACAGCTTTGAAAGTCTTTCTGCCCTGTGTACTAACAGGTCTGTTGAATGTGCTGTAACTTCAGGGGAAGAAAAGACTGTTTTGGGGGCTAAAGAAATTCTCAAACTGCACACACAGCACAAACTACATATTACACACAAGTGAATCCGTGAGTAGCACCAAGTTTGGTTTAACGTCTTGTTGCAGAGCACAGACTAGCCCGACAGCTCAATGAAACCTACAGCCAACAAATCCTGCTGTGTTACAGAATTCAACATGTTGGAAGAGTGGTAAAGAGTGATGATGACAAGCCTCAGTTGACAAAACCTGGCACAGCTAGTTGCAGGAATAAAGTGTTAGAATTTTTTAGTTGTTAGGGAACTTTAAAGATTATCTAGTCTTTGGAAGATGTCAAATAGCACTTATGTTTTAGTTTTGTTTTGTTTTTTTCCTAAGTCATCATAGTTAAGACATTGCCCTAGGGGTTTTTTATTTTGTTTTGTGGTGTGTGTGTGTGTGTGTGTGTGTGTGTGTACACAAAGTGTGCTATGTTACCCTGTGTTAACTAGGAGTTTGCATGTCTGTTAGCTTGGAAGGAAAATAAGTATTTTTGAGTAGCCTGATGTTTGTGAGAGCCAGCTTCTCTGTGCTACTTTGGTGTACAGGAACCCAGACACATTGGCCTTTATCTTCCCCTATTAGCTCTGCTTTGGGACCTTCTTAGAGATAAGATGAATGTCCACTCCTGGGCTTAAAGCTGTGTGGGCTGGACCATGTCTTGCATTAGGGGGGAGTCTTTGTGCAGTGGGATAATCCCAGTGGGGTTTCTAAGCCTCTCACCTCCCTGCCTGCCTGCACCCTGGTGAATGTGGACAGTGGGCCACCTTTCTGATGTGATCTTTTTATTGGCAGTGGGAGGATTACCTCTTCTTCCTCACTAGAAGGTCCTGCAGTAAACACTGACCTTGTGAAACCCTCTTTATGAAATGGCTACCCACCCCCACCTGAGAATTCTCTTCCCAGCCACTGTTCCTACAGCTCAACACCTTCTTCTCTACCTATGTTCCTTCCTCTCACTGCCAGGACCCAAGAATTTCCACACATCAGATCCTAGGCACCATGTGGAGCCCTCACTTCATTATGAGAATTAGGCCTTCAGGCTGCCCTGCACTCCAGGAGCCCAGGCCAGGCTTTCCAGCTGTCTCCAGCTGTTCCTGGGGCCTTTCAGTCCTGTGGCTGCAAGTCCTGCTGTCCCATGCTGTCACTTATAATAGGAAGTAGGTGGTCCTGTTCCTGCTGCTTGAGGTTCTAGTCAGGAGTCAGATGCTTGAGGCTTTGATTTGAAAGTGTGTGGTACTTGGGGAGTGCAAATGAAGAAAAACATACCTTATTCTGTTTTTCAGCTTAAGAGCAGATGCCCCCAAGTAACCATAACAATAAAACCTAGCCAATCATCCCCACCCCCAGTTTCAACTTTTCTCTCTCATTTAGATGTTGAATAGCCTGGGAACCCAAATTATTATAATACGTTTCAGAAAGGAACTCAGAGTTCTAAACACTGGACTTATTTTAGTCTGTATTATTAAGTCTTTATTTTTATGCTTTCAACTTAACAGTTACTATTAATAATTGCCATAAATAGTAAACTCATTACTAAATTAAAACTGTTCCTGTAAAGCATTAGCACAGTCTGGCATATAATGAATCTTTAATAAATATTAGCTACTGGTATTACCACCAACACCAGCAGCAGTTTCATGATGAATCATATTTGCTACAATGAAGTTTGTATCAACTGTCCATTTAAAAACACAACAAGGCTGTGATTGATTCCAGAGAATTTATTACTCCTGGAATAATAACTATGAGCTCCCTGAAGGTGAGACAGATCCCATCCCAAATCAGCTTATATTTAAGAGACATAATGCTAACAGTCCTGAACAAGCAACAGTAAGGTTACTGAGGTATAGTGTCTCTTGGTCACAACTGAAATTGAAGTTGTTCATTGTTCTTCCATTCAATAAGCAAACATTTATTGAGTACTTACTGTGTGCCATTGCTGTGCTGGAAAAGATTGGCTTGCCATGCCTACTCTACAGGATCTTCCATGTATAGAAGGGGTTTTAAATAGGGAGGAGACCAAGGTTATTAAGTCCAGGATGCAGCAGCAAGGAAAATCTTAGATGTCCTGTGGTCACAGCAAGGAAATTGTTTTGTCTTTACTTTTGAACCTTAAAGTGCTTTGTAAAAATAAAAATGTGCACTTCAGACCCTTTGATCCTAAATATCTGACTCTATTTGAGCTAATTTACCAGTCTGCTGATACAGTGTGTGTGGATGAGGCTGCTCCCTCCAGGCAGCTGGGTCTCAGGCACTCTTTTATCTGCCAGTCTCACAGTCAGAGGCCTGGGCTGCTGGGATCCAAATAGAAGATCAGTAGACATGGCCCCTGTCCTCAAGGACACAGACCAGCATTAGGTCAACAGTGGGGCATCAGGAGTGGCCCAGGTGACCCATGGTTTCAGGGGATCCCATGCAGCTGTACCTTAGGAGTAGCTATTCGTAGAAGCTATGTAGGGTGAGTATATTGCAGTTTTCCTTTATCAAAATCCTCTGATATTTTGTCAAGATGTTTATAAAAGTTTTTTCTACTCCCCCCTTTCCATACTGTTTGTATTTTTTTTTCTTCCCCTCTCGCTTAGAGGTTAAGCTTTAATTTTGCAGCCATAGCATACCTTCCCCATGCTGGTACTTTCTCTGCACTGGTCCCATAGAGACCTCTCTGTGTCCCTGAAGGAACAAGGCAAATTGAGCTCTCTGGATCATGATGAACAAATGTTATAAATGTTAAATTTAAGGAGCAGATTCTCTGCTTCACTTTATAATTATACTTCTGTTTCTATAGCTTTTCTCCTGGCTCTTTTCTTCATTAACTATTGTGTTGTCTGCACCTCCCGCCCCAAACAAATAATCATTTGGGTGGGATTTTTAAAGATTCAAAGAATTTGAATGAAATATGAGCATTTATCCTGGTTAAAGACAGGATACATTATATCCACGTTATATAGATTTACTATTAAGTCTCAGATACTTTTAGACAGCTTTTTCCTTATCTTCTTATCAGTCTTTTTTTTTCTTTTCCTGTAGAGTGATTTAGCAGTTTATTTCCCTTGATAAGCAACATTCTTTTAATTTACCAAAATACATTGTATGAAACGTGTTTTGATAAAAATCTGTGTGGACCAAAAAGCTTTCCATTGACCCTGGGGAGGGTAGTGTATGTATTTTAACTCTCAACAGCCCCAGCTGTGCCTGGCCTCCTTCAAAGTATTTTGGTCTCTCATTTCAGCCACAATTACAAGTTCATCCGAAAACGATGACCGGAGTGGCTCCAGTTTGGAATGGAATAAAGATGGAAGCCTAAGGTTAGGGGTTCAGAAGGGAGTACTTCATGATCGCAGGGCAGATAACTGCTCCCCAGTGGCAGAAGAGGAGACCACTGGGTCAGCGGAGAGCGTGCTGCCTAAGGCGGAATCCTCAGCTGGAGATGGTCCGGTCCCTTATTCTCAGAGCTCCAGCTCGTTAATAATGCCACGGCCCAACTCAGTTGCAGGTAAGGCCACACCTCTCCCTGGAAGCTTATCTCACCAAGTCTGAGGAGCCCTGTGTTCACTGTCTTCAAATGGGAATCTGATCCAGACACAAGCCAGTGTTGTGATCTTTTTCCTAGGCCTCAGTTTACTCATCTGTAAACACAATAAGGCTGCACTTAATGGTCTTTCAGTGACCCTTTCTTTCTGGAATTCTTTAAATCTATGATTTGGACTATTTGGCTCTTTTTATAAATAAGGGAAGAAAGTTCAAAAACTAGTAGATGCTATAAGCTTGAGTAAATGTATAGCTTCTTATTACATCTGGGTAAACAAGAATTATTTAGAGTGAAGTCATTAATATAACATGAGCTCAAAGAATTTCAACTCTAACTTTAATGCTTTCTTTTGTATGATTGAAGCCTGTCATATAGACGGGAGATCAGCTGCTTCTATATAATTCAGTTATAACAGAGCTCAAAGCTTAAAACATGCACAGTAAAAGTGAGAGCAAGATGTAGCAGCTGGAAGTAAGAAAAAGAACACAAATGGCAGTGTGCATTGATAGTTGGATTGGTCAGCAGCTGGCCATCAAGAAAGGAGAGGGTGGGGGCACACTCTGCATCTTAAGCTGTTATGCCTGCTTTGAAGGTCTTATGCTTCTATATCACACACTCTTGGACTGAACGTAGAAGAAAAACTTGTTAAGGTAATTCTTTGTTACCAATGTAGCACTTAAAATGTCTCCCCTACTAACTCACAGACCCAGATTCTCTCTTCCTACATCAAAGGATTTTTCTGTAATTTATACTGCTCCTTGGGGATGTGCTAGGTCATTCTGGCTATTGGGTGTTTTTTACGATGGAACTCTGAAGCAGCGGGTAAATAAATGTCCTTAATGGAAAAGTTCTGAGGTACAACTCTAATTCACTTTCAAAGGAAGCAAAATGGCCTTGTTCCAGAAGAGGGATTTGGCATGTCTGCCAGAGAGAAGCACTAGAGAGCATTATGCACATTGACTGATGGTGCTTCCAAAAGCTTTCGTGTCCTCCCACTGTAGTCCCACCCCTTGAACGTAACATGTTGCGCTCAAGCCATCTTAAGCCATATTTACCTCGTTACAATGAATGGGTCACTTGTATTGTCCCAGAACATGACAGCTTTATTTTCTTCCACAAAATAGCAAATCTGTGTTCAATGTAATCAATCTGTTTTAAAATTAGGAAACACATTAATACATTAATTTTAGCATTGTTAAAAGCCCCCCTTTTGGGATTGTGTTTTCTGCTGGATTTTCTTTTCTGTGCTCTCCTGCCTTGAGAAGTGACAGTGGGTGTGTGCAGAGCCTGTCCAGTAGATGCAGTGATGATGAGCAGAGCTGTCTGATTTCTGCTGTGCTCATTCATTAGCTCTCGTCTGTGCACTTGAGCTTGACCTCCTGTGGAATGGGTGGGTTTTGGGTTTGAGCAGGGACTACCTGGCCTAATGGGTTCCCTTATTTCTCCTCCTGTTTTGCATGCTTTAAAAAGTAAATGCATAGTTTGAAAGGGACAAGGTGAGTGCCCCACCTCATGGTATCTGTTAACAAGCTAGACGTCTGGTAGTTTCTTCATTTGCCATCCTCCTACCTCTAACGTTGAACCTCCTTTGAGGGAATAAAAAGGTTTTCAAGGATCATAGAAAAGATAAGATTCCTTTGTGTGAACTACATTCAGTACTGTTTGGTTAGTAATTAGAAAGCAGACTGCTGCAAACAGGGAACACTCAATGTTAGAAGGATTGAAGTAAAATGTGAAGGACCATATTTGCAGATCCACATAAACAAATTGCCACTTGACAATGATACCAGGACACCATAGGATGGAGTCCCGGGGTGAGGGTGCAAAACTAGTTCCTGAGATTACCAGTTTTCATGGTCATTGAGCCTGGTACAAAGAACTGTAACTGTTCTTGTCTGCTAACTGTGCAACATAGTGAACACTTTTGTCAAAGATTGTAAATTAAATTGGCTCAGATTGGAGATTGTTTCACTACCCAGAGATGTTCTTTGTAAAGGTATTTGTTAGAGCAAGATTGACTTGAAATGCTGTATATCACATCAAAATGAAATGACATGAACACTTTTTCCCTTTATTAAAAAGCAGGGCGTAAAGCCTTTAAAATTATATCTTGGCTAATCTAGAAGTTGGGCAGTAGTTTCTGCTACTTTTGACTATTTTGTCTTTTGAAATACTTTCTGAGTGGAAACTTGAATACTTTCTGAATAGAACACTGTCTTTGATTCTCCAGGAAACCAACAAACACAATTACCAATTGAGTTCCAATTTCCTTGAAACACTACCTGGTAATTGCCCTGAACTTACTGGCATTTACATTTGATAGGTTAGTCTACGACTTACAGTTTTTCCAGATGTTGCTCTTTGTTTAAGTTAGACAGAACTCCCCCCACCTATCCTCCCAAAAAACACCTCTTTCCTGCAGAATCCTGAAATGTGCCACAGTGTGTGCAAGTGTGCACGCACATAAATGCATAGTTTAATTGCAGAATGTTGGCAGTAGGTGTACTGCAGCATGCAATTGCTTTTCCTCTGACTTTTCTCAGCCCAGCCCAGAATATTTAATATTAAATATGTGTCTGACTCTTGAACTGGTGATGTCTGAGAATCTACCACAGGCCTTTGTGAGAGGGCAAAACAGTCCAGGTCACCTGCTGTGCTGGGTGTGCTCATAACTAAGCAGCTGAATTGTCACTGCACTTGCTCTCAGGTGTCTCTATGGCTTTGAAGATACCTCAGAAAGCAGAGGTAGCTGCAGCTGGTGTTGCAGTCCTGCTGCAACTTCCAGCTCAGCTTAATTGCCTTTGAAATGGAAACTCAACAGTGGAATGGGGGAGTGGCTGAGGCTATCTGATGCTCTGGCGACTGGAAATCTGAAAACGGAGGCCCTTGAAACCTCACCATCTCCTGCATCTAGGGCTTCTTGAAGTTCTTTGTTTGGAATATCCTTTGTAGTCACATTTTTAATCATTTCAGTTGTCACAGAATTACAAATTGAATGTTAGGTCCTAAGGAGTCAGGGAAGGGGGAAACAGAAACCCCTTTGAGGATCTTTGAGTCTTAGTATTCTCAGGGACAAAAGTAGTATGTGGGGCACCCTGGCTGTTTGGGTTCTGGATTGAATTATGGGCTGTGGCTAGATGGCTTCTCCTGCCTGAGCTATGCCTTCACTACAAGGCATGCCAAGGAGAATCCGAGTCCATGGTATCAAGCATGAGCCTCCAGATGTGTTCCAAGCTGTGTTTCTACAGGGAGCCTAGAGACATGAGGGCCTGGGGGAGCACATGGGTGGTCTTGTTGCCCCTTCAGGAAGTTTCACGCACCCTGGTTATGAAGGACCTGGAGAGAAGCTGTAGCTTACCTTAGGTCTATTTGAAAGTTCTGCATGAGGAATTAGCTGACTTTTTCTAATGGGAGAGATTTACATGGTTCCTGGTTATGTGCAGAGCTTTCTCTTAAATGTGTGTGGTGTGTAATTAGTGAATAGGCACCAAAAGGGTGCAGAAGCACAGGTTTATGTTCTAATGATGCAAAGTTTCAGATGTTTCTCTGCTGCCTGGGAAGGTAAGTAGGTAGGGCACATGCTTGATTGTCCTTTCAGGTTGCAGCGAGAAGAGACAGGGCATCCCTGAGTCAGGTCCAGAACCCCACAGGTGCTTGTCAAATGAAAGAATGAGAGGGAGTGGTGTGGACATGAAGACAAGAATGATAGAAACCTTAGGGGAAGTAGGAAGGGCTCAGGACAGATGGTCCTGGGGGCAACTGGTTGCTAGGTCTGAGCCTGTGGGGTAGCCACAGGGCTTTCAGAAGATAGACAACCCATATCAACTTCATTTCCTTGCATCCTCGTCCACTAATGACTTCCCCAGTCCTTAGAAAACTTAGCCCTTGGAATGCAACTCCCTCTGCACTCCTCATTTTCCCTGAAATAATGTGTGCATCTTACTATGCTGGGAGATAATTTGTCTAAGAACAGTAGTACTTTATGTTGGACTTCTTAATCTATAAAACCAGGTTAGGTTAATTTCATTTAGATTCTTCTCATTTTGACCCAGGGTATAAATAAGAAGGTTTTTTAAAGGCAAAAATGTGTGTTTATTTGTTTCTGAGATTGCTGAGACTCTACAAAGTTATTTTTCATTAGTTGTTTTTTATAATCCAACTTGTATGCATGTGTGAATGATACTTAATGTTTTTTAATAAGTATGTACATGCTATGAATCTTACCGATCTAGTCGGAAATAAACATGATTGTTCATTTCTAGAATTTTAAAAAACACATACACACATATATAATATAGCATAATTTAAAATACAATTTATATATGTGTGTATTGGAAGCTTAAGATAGTGTTTGCACTTTTACTGCCAAAAGCTGGCTTTTAGTGTTCTGAGTGCTATGATGCTCGTTTAGTTAACAAGGTTGGAATTCCAAACAGCAGAAATCGTCCCAGAGATGCAGAGAAGAATCAAGTCCCATGCCATGTGTTTGCAGTAAGTTCTGAAGCTTCACTGTGTGATACATGATTGTCAAGTATCTTCACAAAAAATTTATGAAGAAGTCTATCTCTTTCCAGGAACAGTGAAGAGACCTGGCAATCGTATCAACATAACTTTGCTTTAAAAATGAGTAGTGCTTGGTTTTTACCACTTTCCAATTATCAGTGTTGCTGGGAAAATAAACTGGGACAAATATCTTCAAATAAATTTTGTTGAAAGCCTGAACTAAATAAATTGGTAATTTATAACTTAGGGTAGTTTAGGTATGACATTAAACTAAGCTTCTGTTTTATATTACAGCAACGAGCTCTACCAAGTTGGAAGACCTGAGTTATTTAGATGGGCAGAGAAATGCTCCTCTCCGGACGTCAATTAGACTACCATGGCACAATACGGCTGGAGGTAGGGCACAGGAAGTTAAAGGTATTTATCCTTCCATTCCATGTCACAGCAGATGTGATACACTTGTTCACTAGACACTGGAAGTCTCTGATAATCAACATAGAAACCAAATGTTTTGAAAACATAATAACATGTGAAGGTAACATGTGCTTTAAAAATAAAGTATAAGGTATGCTAGAAGATCATTCTTAATAGCTTTGGACTTCTTTCTTAAAATTTGTGATTAAATTTCTTCCGACATTGAAAAATAACTTGGGTCTGGTATAAACTTGTAATCCCAGCTACTCAGTAGTCAGAGATCAGGAAGATCACGGTTTAAGGCCAGACCAGGAAAAAAGTTAGCAAGAATACCATCCCAACAAATAAACCAGGCAGGAGGCATAGGTAGGAGGATCACGGTCCAAGGCCAGTCCAGGGCAAAAACATGAAACCTAAAAAATCAACTAAAGCAAAAAAAAAAGCAGGAGGGAGTGGCTGGAGGTTTGGCTTAAATGATAAAGTGCCTGCCTAGCAAGCCACAGGGTCCTAAGTTCAAACACCAGCATTCTGCCCCCCTCCACACCCCCCAAAAAAAACACCTCTGCTCAACACTTGTTAGATTTTTTTGGGGAGCGGGGTGGGGGGGCTACTAACAAAGGATCAGTTTTGTTTCAGTTCCTTGGACCATGTCAACCACATCCTATGTTTGCCTGTAATGCATCACTACATGGGTGAAGCACCATCACACCCAGAGGAAATCTGTGCCTCTGTGTCTAAGAAAATGTGTTTGCATCTTAGGCAGGGATGTCTTACATGTGGTTTCAGATAAACCAGTGAGACATGGTTTGGCCCTTTGCATTACTTTCTCTTGGTGTCTGCCTTGAGTCGTAAGGATGACTCAGACAAAAGGACTACAGTCATTTTCATAGTATACTCCTTGGGACCAACTGGATATGGTAAATGAAATATTACAGAAATATTAATAGAACCAGATTAGAAATACTTAAAGACACACAAACACTGGTATCTTGAGTTTCTTAATATATGAAATCGACAGTCTTTTAAAATAATGATCTTTTTTTTAAAGCACGATTTGCTCCTTACAAGCCACAAGACATTTTGCTGAAACCTCTGCTGTTTGAAGTACCAAGCATTACAACAGACTCTGTGTTTGTGGGAAGGGATTGGCTCTTTCACCAAATAGAAGAAAACTTGAGGAATAGAGACCCAGCAGAAAATAGAGGAGCAGTCATTGTTGGAAATGTGGGATTTGGGAAGACAGCCATCATTTCCAAGTTGGTGGCATTGAGCTGCCATGGAAGCCGTATGCGGCAGATTGCATCCAACAGCCCCAGTGCATCACCTAAAAGTAAGTCTACAACTAAGTATTTGTCTAGTTTATTACATGAACATAAAATAGATGGAGGAAATTGCTGTTTGGGTAGACTATAAATTGCCAGTTTTCCTTAAGTTGTTCTAGCTACTGAACCAGGTCTGCAATCATGTGTTAAGTGAGCTATCTGAATTCTTCCCATATCTGTCATGTATGTATTTAGCTGCAACTTGAGGTGAGGCCACCATTCCCTGATGGCCTCTTGACATCTTCCTCTTTACATAGCAGAGATGGGGGGCAGGGAGGCCTGATCAAGTGTCCTGGGGAAGTTTTGGTCCTAAAGCAAAAGAGTTGGGTTCTTAGAAGAACAACTCATATGGAATCTAATGCAGGTTTTCTGGGGGGACAACCTCTTTCCCCTTTCTCTCTCTCTTTTTTTTCTATGCAGAATTCTTTGTACTCTGTTCACCACATCATTTGTCTTCTATACTTGATTTAGTAAAATTATAAGAACTAAGCTAGACATTAGATAGAGTTGCCAAATATTCAGCTACTCACTATTTTTTTTTTTTTAAGAGGGAGTGGAGTTTGAGACAGGTTCTCACTGTGTAGGCTAGGCTGGCCTTAAACTTGTGATCCTCCTGCTTCAGCTTCTTGAGTGCTGGAATAACAGGCAAGCACAACTATACCTGGGTTCACTGTTTATTTTATATGCAGTAAATCCAAAGGTGTCTTTAAATATGGTGAACAAAAAAAAAAAAAAAAGGGGAGCCATGGGAGATTTTGTTTTCAAATCAGGAAGAGTAAAGGAAACTAGCAACAGCCATTTTCCAGGGGAGGATCTGTGTAGAGGACATGGGGTTGCATTGGTTGATGTGCTCATTTGGACCTCTCCTATGGAGCTGTGTTCACTCATTATCTATTAAAATACTCCCTGAGTCTAATCCAGAAATAAACTCTATATCCTGTCATACTTGTATGCTGGTGCTATGATGAAGTGGATCTTTTCTCTAGTGTCAGATCCCACCCAGGACCTTCCTTTCACTCCATTGCTTTCACCGAGTTCTTCCACAAGTGTTCTCAACATGGCAAAAACACCTCCAGGGTCTAGCACTTCTGAAAACCAGAGGCTGAGAGAGGATGCGGTGAAATACCTTGCTTCTAAGGTAACTTGCTTTCGTTTTATGGGAGCCATCCAGGTAGAGAGAGATTTGCTAGTTTGGTTTTGAGAAGTGAACAGGAAAAGGAATCTTAAAATAAAAACAACTGCTTGGTGCTAAAGTATAACTGTTGATAAAGTTGTCATAGAGTATGCCAAAAAAAATGTACTAATGAAAATAAATATCTAAAGACACTGGCAGTGGATTTTTGTCCATCTGAAACAGTAGGTTGAAAGAGTTTCTCAAAGCAACAGGAGAAATCATGTGTCCTCACCCCAAATCCATTCCTACAAGTGCATGTACTTTGATTTGGGAGGTTGAAAGCCTTTAACTGACCCAAACCTCTTCTGCCTGCTCTCTGCTGCCTGGCGGGGGGTGAGGGGGGAAGAGGGGCTATGGTGCCCTGCATCCTCTGCCAGAGGTTTCTTGGGAAGTTTTTAAAAAAGACATGGCTGACTTCCCCTTCCTAAAGGTGTGGTCATAGAAAACTTTCTGAAATTTTCCTTCTGCTCCGCATCCATCGCTGGTTCACAAGCCATCTTCCTGCATTAAAGTGGTTATATTCCTTGCCCTAATGAGCCACTTGGGTCTTCTTTGGCAGCAGTGATGAGGGATGCTTTGTGAGGGCACCAGAGGTGAGATTGGTGTAGGAGAACTGAAAGGAATTCTGCTCTGCTCTGGGCCCCTGACCCTCTTGTCTGCTCCTCAAGCTGCTTTTGACATGGATAGCTCTGGTGCTCTGAGCACGGGTTCAGGACAGCTCTCTAGTCATGAGCAGGGATCTGAGATGAGGGATGCAGTGCTGGCTTCAGAACCACCTTTGCTATAGGGACTTTTCAAACCACTTAGACTGTGACCCACACTAAGAAATATATCTTAATGCTGGAGATCCAGCACTCAGGCACATAATGGAAAAGCATTAGTGAACTGGGCTTGTTCTTACATATATTCTGTAATTTAAATTCACTTTATTTGAAATTAAAAAAAAAAAGCAGCAGCTGTAGCTGCAGATTGATTTCATGACCCACTGTTGGATTGCCAAGATGATTCTGTCAAACACTGCAAGACTGTGGTACCAGCTATCTCATTGTGGTTTGCAAAGCTTATTGGGGGCCCCATGGGCCTGCTAATCTCTGTCCAGGAGAGAGTTGAAGGGCAGTCAGCATTCCTCTAAGCGCTGCTGATAAATATAATCTAAACCAAAGTCACATGGTAGTTCCAGCTTGGCCTGAGAAAAGCCATTCCACATCTCTCTTGCCACTTGCTTTCTAAGAGTGCAGCCCTGGGATCTCATCCCAGATCATGGCATTTAACCTGTATCTATGGCCTTCAGCTGTGCACTGTGGCCAGTGGTTTTTGTCCTACTCACTGTAAGGATTGCAGAGCTGAATGAGACAGTGATGATTAGACTTTTCTGAAAGCACACTGCACTTCACACAGTGGGTCTTCCTTACCTCATACTGCCATTCTTCCTTTCACCCTCCTATGGGAAGGTGTAAGATGGTTCATTTTCATATAGTGTGCTAAGAACTCTTCCTTAGCTCTTTTCCTTGGGTCTCTGACCAATACCCTGCTTCTACTGCAGCAGCTCTGTCTAACAGAGGGACCTCTCCTCATCCTCTCCACGCTTCAGCAGCTTCCTCCCTCCCCTCTTGTGCCTTTCACATGACAGGCAGAAATCTGGTCATTGCTGATTTTTGTCTTTTAGTGTCCCCTGAAGAAGTGTGGGTGTGGGGAGGGGGTTCAGGACTTGAGCACCTCCTGCCAGGAGGAAGAGGCAGCTGTGACTTCACAGATTTCATAGCCACTGATTAGATTATGTGCTTCTGAGGATCTGCAGAGGGTTTCCTAAAGAGATGCTGCTGTTCCTGAGAACAGAACTGCAGATCAAATGGTGATGTTGGGAGCATTGGGTTGTTTGGGATTGCTCTAAGCCAGTTGAAGCTTTAGATTTTACGAATGACTTACAAATTTACATTCAATGATGAGTAAATTGAGCTGAATTTTGTACTGATCAAAGTGGATTTGCGGCTGCAGTGAATGGTCTGCAGAGAACTTAGCAAACCACATGAATGAAGAAAGGAATAAATGAAAGAATTAAGATAACTGGGCTTAGTTTTAAGGAATAGAAGCAGTGCATCTTATTATCTCAGTGAAGGGCAGAGTTGCATTCTTGTTTGAGGTCATGGAAGGAGCTGTGGAGAGGGTGGAGTAATGCTGATGGCTCTGCTTCCCCTATAGGTGGTGGCCTATCACTACTGCCAGGCTGACAACACATACACATGCCTGGTGCCTGAGTTTGTGCACAGCATCGCGGCTTTGCTTTGCCGGTCCCATCAGCTCACCACCTACAGAGACCTTCTAATCAAAGAGCCCCAGCTGCAGAGCATGCTGAGCCTCCGATCATGTGTGCAGGACCCTGTGGCCGCTTTCAAGAGGGGAGTGCTGGAGCCACTCACAATCCTGAGAAACGGTACTTCCCAGCAGCCCACCAACCCCTGCCCCAGTGGCAGTACAGGATGCCCAGGTGGTTCTTAGAAGGAGGGTGGTCATCTCAGCACTGATGTGCCTGGGACAGGATATAAATGAGTCAGTACATTTTGGTCCCATGCCCTCAATGATGGAGTCTTCAGTGAAACATCTCTAATCAGAATGAGCTCTACAATGCAACAGTTCCAAAGAACAGTTACACTTGTAACTGTAGGGGAGAGGAGACTGTCTCTATCCTCTGAAGGTTTGATATTTGAGTGAAATGAACAATAGTAGACAGATTACCAAGGGGATTTATTAACACCTGCAAGTTGCATGCATGCAGAAGGTAACTCAAAGCAGAGGCTTTCAAACTCTGGCTTCTAAAGATCTTCAACAAAGAACAATAAGTTTTAGAGAAGTGGCAAGACAAGGAAGACAGTTTTAGGCTTCTGGAGGCAGGAAGCTTCAGGAAGGCAAATATATAGGGAAATGAATGGTAGATAAAGGCTAGTTAGTAAGGTTTATAACCTAGCCTTCTCTAATGTTTTCTTCAGCTGATGGAATGTGCACTTGTCCCCATTGATTAACCTCTGTCCTTCCTGGTAGAGATGGCTAGGGGGACACTTCTTCAGATTTATGTCCTGCTTTTAGGCTAAAAGGCTAGGCAGAGAGCTTCTCTGCATCTGCTTCTTAATTGTCTTTAGCTTAACAGCCCTTCATACTTCAGGGAAGCATGTCCCCACATAACTGTAAGCTGTTCAGATGACTGTTGTGTATGTATTTTCCACTCCTAGGTAGCAGGGGAATAAGTAGATTGAAGGCAGGATATGTTCCAGTGTGTTTTCTTCAGGGCCCTACTCAGATGAGTTGAAATGTAAAGCCATTTCTAAAGGTTTTTATTTTATTTTATTTTATTTTATTGCCCCCAAATATTCCACAATGCAGGGGCCTTACTGGCATTAGGGGCCCTTTAGGTTTCCATCCTCCCTCCCCTTTGTTCCTTACCTTTTGGGTGATTGTTTAACTGCCTACATAGCACTCCTGCCAGAAGATGCAGGGAAAGGGATCAAAACGTGTATGTCATCCTTTCTCCATTCCCTGGGCAGAAAGCTGGCCTAACAAATTGAAAACTAGACTTAGGCTTGTGGGAAAGAACCCTGCTCTAGGATCTGTAAAGTACTCTATGGCTTGGGCCTATTGTTAGCTCTTAGAGGGGGAAGGGGTCACTGAGGAGTTCTAATAGGGGACCTAGACTCTTCTCCAGATTTGATCTCTATGTTAGTTATCTTTGCTGCAGGACACCCTAGTGACAATGGCTTATGAAGAGCTAACATATTATATATATGATTGAGATTCTGCTAATGTGTTTCTGAAAACTGTTTTTGCTAGAGCTGGTTTTCTTTTGGCTCCGTACTCCAGTTTTCATTATAAATTTAATAAAAAATATGCTCCTGTGAAAACCATGTCCTTTACCATATGTAAACCTTTTAGTTTTTACTAACACTTTAAACTGTGCATTAAAATAAACTGGGTGGTGCCATCTTATAGAAATGTATAATTCCTTAATTTGAAAATTGATTTTATCCTTTAGAGCAGAAAATTCCTGAAGAAGAATACATTATTTTGATAGATGGTTTAAATGAAGCTGAGTTCCATAAACCTGATTATGGAGATACGCTTTCTTCATTTATTTCCAAAATTATTTCTAAGTTTCCTGCCTGGCTGAAGCTGATTGTGACTGTAAGAGCAAATTTTCAGGTAACAAAACAGTTCTCAAATTTCTAACCAAGTCACCATACTCTAGCTCTACAGTGATAAATACTAATAACTTAAAGTGTTGAAAGCCATTTCAGTGAATTGAAAACTAGCTAGACTTTGAAAAATTAATCCAGGGAGCCCCAAATGGGCAACACTCTGACCTTTATAACCTCCAAGGCATATTTATCAATGTGTCAGATAAGTGTCTATCAGTATTAAGTTGTTTTCCTGCACTACTGAAGTAGCAGTATGTAGGCCAGGTTTACCATAATTCAGTGTTCACTGGCTGAGGTGTCTTGCTAGCTGATTTACTGGAGTTACTTCCATGGGTTTGAAGTGGGACTTTTGTTTCATAGTACTAAAGACGTGCTCTACCACTAAGGTATACTCCCAATTCTGTAGGGTTTTTTTGGGGGGGAGGGGCAGAAGGAAAAGTGAATGATGACAAAGATTTTAAGGCCTATTCTGAGAGACCTGTTTTTTCATAAAACTTCAATATGCTCTATCATTTGCAGCGAGTGATTTTTGTTTTCCTTCTCCATCTTCACCTTCATTTAAACCCAAAAGTTATATCAACCATCAACTTTCTCTATACTTGTCCCATTTCAGGAAAGACATTTAGACATTAGATTTTTATTTTTGCTCTTTTTTGATTATGTCTTTTTAAAAATAACATTCAAGTTATGTTTTGAATCATTAAAACTGGAAATAGACCTCAATTGAACTTGATATTTGTTTTTAAAGATTCATACACTTTTCAGTCATGTTTTACTCAATAAGCATAACTTGGGTTTCAGGAAAAGATCAAAACCGGGTCCTATATTTCACTTCCTGGCTGAGTTTTCAGAGGTTCAGTTAATATCCATGCAAAGGGAGAATGACTATACTCTGCCTTATTCCTGCAATCACTATATCAAAGAAGGACATGTGCTTAAATACTTCAGAAATGAGAGTGGGAAGTTAAAAAAAAACCAGACAAAATTCCTCTCTGCTCTTAGGTGATAGGATTGTGTTTGCCTTTGGAATGGGGAAGAGATGGGCAGGGACTGAGCTTCTGGGGCTGGTAATGTGGTTTCTGGTGCCCAGGTACCAGAAATTTTTTGTAAAAATTAGTGACACTACAGTTATGATTTGTGCACCAGTATATTCATGATATACTTCCATTTGAAAGTTTACTTAAAATACATTTTAAAAATGATAGCATGCAATATAGAAGCAGGCAGCTTTTTTTTTTAACCACATGCTATCAAGGGGCAGAATCGGGGGCGGGGGGGGGGATGAGGGAGGGGCGGTCTCAGATTGCCTGGCCTGGCTGAGTTACACAGCCCCAGCATCTGATGCACAAATAGAGATACCTCTTATCTTAGCATCTGGTTATGTTCTTAGATGTGCTGTGTTGGTTTGTATTTTTCCTTGTTATATAATCAGTTGCACAGTATAAAGATTATGGGTATCAGATCACCTGCAGGGTCACCCTGCCCCTGCATTGGTGTGGTCTGATTGCCATTGTCTGCTTGGGGCACTCATTCTGCCTGCTTGGCTCTAAGTCCTTGATGAGGGCTTTAGGAAAGCCTTTACTGATTCTATCTCACATCAGGATTTCTTCCACATAAGCTTTTTATCTGTACCTTATCCTATTACACGTTTTAATACAAAGCAATGAGTCCCGGTAATCCATGAAAATCCTCCTTGAAAGAAAACTAGTGAACCTGGTTTAAAATGCTGCTAAAATAGAAAAGGAATCTCTCTGGAGTGACACTGTGGGTTTTTGTTTTTTCACAGGAAATCATAAGTGGGCTGCCATTCGTCAAGCTTTCCTTAGATGACTTTCCAGACAACAAAGACATCCATAGTGACCTGCATGCCTATGTGCAGCACAGGGTTCACAGCAGCCAGGACATCCTCAACAACATCTCCCTGAATGGCAAGGCTGACGCTGCCCTCATTGGGAAAGTCAGCAACCACCTGGTGCTGCGCAGCCTTGGCTCCTACCTGTACCTCAAACTCACTCTGGACCTCTTCCAGAGAGGACACCTGGTCATCAAAAGTGCCAGCTACAAGGTGGTGCCTGTGTCTCTGTCCGAGCTCTATTTGCTGCAGTGCAACATGAAGTTCTTGACCCAGTCTGCCTTTGAGAGAGCACTTCCAATTTTAAACGTGGCCCTCGCGTCTCTCCACCCCATGACGGATGAGCAGATTTTTCAGGCTATTAATGCTGGTCACATCCAAGGGGAGCAGGGCTGGGAAGACTTTCAGCAGAGGATGGATGCCCTTTCCTGCTTCCTTATTAAGAGGCGAGACAAAACCCGTATGTTCTGCCACCCGTCCTTCAGGGAGTGGCTGGTCTGGAGAGCAGATGGCGAAAGCACAGCCTTCCTGTGTGAACCCAGGTATGACAGGCGCTTCCTGTCAGCACATCACAGGGGTTTCCAAGCTGTTCGGAGAAGATTTCAAATGTATCCACGGTTTCTAATGAAAAGGCATCCCAGAATGAGTAATTCAGGTTTTTTTGCTGCTTTGTTTTCACCCCTTTAAAGGCCGAAGGAGGGGCAGTGGAAAATTTTCTCTACCTTTGGACAAAAGCTTCTTTCCTTTGATTGCTAGAATTTCAGGACTCCCAGTGTATTTGGGTGGAAGAGAAGCTGGGTAGTGCCTGGGTGATGTTTTCTCACCGCCACACCAGGTTCAGCAGTCACATATGGGTAGTGTGGACTCTGTCCCAGGGAACAGTGGGGTTCTCCACAGCATACTCCTGGGGTCTGTCTTGGGTATTCAGCACTTCCACCCTCCATCACTTCTTGTCCCAGGGATCCGGGGGTGTCTGTGGGCACAGAAGGAACACCTGTGTGATTCAGCCTGGCTTCCTCATTTCAGATCAGTGGTTCAGCTCAGTGCTTCAGGCTGGGCCAGGCAGGATAGGGCTGTCCTTGCAGCTAGGCTGCCTGAACCCCAGGAGAGGGCAAGGAGGAAAGCCTCTTTCTGTCTATTCATGGCCTGGTGCCAGTTAGGCCAAGAGGTTGGAATGGGAGGTTGCGGGTACCTTCAGGGAAGGGTATGTTCAAGCCCTCCACTCCTGTCTGCTGGGCCTTGTCCTGCATCTTTGCTCTCTTGAGCAGCTATGCTGTGTGTGTTAGGACTGCCCCCTCCTCTACTGACAGGGTTGCAAGCTGCTAGAGATGGTCCCCTCAGGACTCTAGTGGGCTATGGACCAGATGCCAGAATCCAGAAATGAAGAGGTAAATGAGCATTTGTGAGCCTTGCAAACACTTTACTCCTCATGCTACTGATAGGTCCAGCCACTACTCTCTCTATGTGTGGCTGTTGTTTTCTTAGGTGACACTAAGTTCAAGGTTATTTATTTATTGATTGATTGATTGATTGATGGAACAGGGGATTGAGCCCAGGGCCCAAGTGCTCTACCACTTGAGCTACACCCTGGTTTTTTTTGTTTTTATTTTGTTTTTGAGATAGGGTACCCAGGTTGGCCTAGAACTCAGAATCCTCTTGTCTCTACTTCCTAAGAAGCTGGGATTACAGTCCTGTGCCACCACACCTGGCCCTGTTGTTACATTTTTTTAGCCTGATTTTGGAACAATAAACTGTGACTTCTGTGTTATTTAAGCCAGACCATAATAACTAGGTGAAATGTGTGCTGTGACATAGCTAGCCAAGGAAATTCACATCATTTTCTAGGAAGATAGGCTATAGAGTTTGTAGAGACATGAAAATAAATTGAAAGATTTCAAGGGCTGTGGGTTTGTTGTTGGCATTTGAGGCAGAAGTGGCTGGACTGTAGTCACCATCAAGCTTTGCTTTATTTTGGGTAGTGAAGGCATCGTGTTTATGCAGAGCTGAAAATGGGAACATCTCCTGGGGTGAGGCCCAAATGAAGTGAAGGCAAGAGAAGTACTGAGGGTGCACAGTTTAAGGAGGTACCTGTCATGGAGTTGTACAAGTTAGTGTTTTCCCAAGAGCCTGGTCATACTTGAGCTTCATTCAGCAGACAAAGAATACAGAGAATAATGTTAGAAGGAGCTTCTGGATTTGATTCGGCAGTAGCTTTTGAGACTCCACTATATGCAGATACTGTGGCAGATAGAGATTCCTGGGACGAGAACTATGCTTTTCTCAAGGAATTCCACATAGGAAGACAGATAGTAGCGATGTGGTGATGCTAGGAGGGAGCAACATTACGTGTAGGACTTGAAAGGGGGAGAAACTTAATAGAGAGAGGCAATTTCTGGGAAATGTTTTGCATATGTGGTGACATTTTGGTTAAGTCTTGAGAGATGGTAGCATTCTTACTCCACACCCGATAGTTGTAACTCTTGCCATAGTTACAGAGGGAAACAGGAAAGTCCAGCATTCAGAGGCAATGACACTTGACTCTTTATATCTGTCTCTATCCATAACATTTCAAACGTTACAGAAATCGTCCTTTCTCTCTTAGAATTCTTGTCTTCTTTTTAGTTTGTTGTTTTTATTTTTATTTTTTTGTTTTTGTGGCGTTTCTTACCTAACACATCACGGTCCCAAGAATATGTTAGGAAATCCTAGAAAAGAGTCATTTTTGTTTTTCATGGATGTGCACACCTCCTGGTGGGTAAGTTACAATGTACTTCACATACTGTTGTCCTTGATTCTTAAGCTGTTTCTAGGATACTTATGAACAAAAACTTGTAGAAAATGTCTTGGAACCTTACAGACCAGGATCCATATCTTGACCCCATCAGTTCTATGTCTTTCCTATACACACATTGTTTCAGTCCTCTAAGCCCTACTTTATTTATAGAAAGTATGGCTGTCTTCTTACTGAGAATTGGTGGCTATTAAATGAATTCCTAGAAGGATCAGCATGAAGTTGTTATCGATAGTCACCTTACTGTGCAAGAGCACACCAGAATGTTCTGCTTTTATATAACTGTAACTTAGTACCTATGATCAACTTCCTTCCCATCATCCCATCCCCTGCCCTACCCAACCTCTGGTATTCACTCGCAATTCTACTCTCAACCTTGATGAGAGCAATGTTTTTCCACAATGGCTGTACTAGTGTACATTCCCACCAACAGTGTACAAGGGTTGCCTTTTCTCCACATTCCTCATCAGCACTTGTTATCTTCAGTCTCTTAGATAGTAGCCACTGGGGTGAGATGATACCTCAATGTGCTTTTGAATTGCATTTTCCTAATCTTTTTTGGTGGGACTGACGTTTGAACTCAGGCTTTCAAGCTTGTAAAGCAGACACTACCTCGTGAGCTACACCTCCAGGATACTGGTTATTTTGGTTATTTTGGAGATAGAGTCTCAAGAACTATTTGCCCAGGCTAGCCTCAAACCACAATCCTCCTAATCTTAGTCTCCCAAGTAGCTAAGATTACAGGCACCAGTGCCCATCTGTATTTCCTAATGATTGGTGATGTTGAACATTTTTCATATGCCTGTTGACCATTTGTATGACTTCTTCTGAAAAATGTCTATTTAGATCTGTTGCCCAACTTTTCTTTTAATTTTTATTTTTTTATTATTCATATGTGCATACAATGCTTGGTTCATTTCTCCCCGTGCCCCCACCCCCTCCCTTAACACCCTCCTTCTCCCCCCTACCCCCTCAATACCCGGTAGAAACTATTTTGCCCTTAACTCTAATTTTGTTGGAGAGAGAGTATAAGCAATAATAGGAAGGAACAAGGGTTTTTTTGCTAGTTGAAATAAGTATAGCTATACAGGGAGTTGATACAGGGAGTTGACTCACATTTTTTTGAATCGAACCTTTCTCTAGTTCCTGGTCCCCTTCTCCATTGGCCTCAGTGGCTTTTAAAGGATCTCTTTATTTCTCTGTGTTGAAGGGCAACAAATGCTAGCTAATTTTTTAGGTGTGCTTACCTATCCTCATATCTCCGGGTGTGCACTCCACTTTTATCTTTGATCAAGTTCAAGTACCCGTGTTGTGTGCCTTGATCTATGTCCGAATATGAGGAAAATTACGTTTCTTGGTCTTTTGGCCAGGCTAATCTCACTGCAGAATTAATGTTTTCTCCGAGTTCCATCAATTTACCAGCGAAGGATAACATTTCGTTCTTTCCTTCAATGGCTGCATCAATGGATAGATCAATGTTTAGAGTGGTTCTCTAGTTTAAATTCCCACCAGCAGTGTAAGGGTTCCTTTTCCCCAGCACCTCGCCAACACTATCTCTCCACTTTCTATAGTCTTCCTCAATCTCTTTCTTCAGAAGTTTATAGTTTTCCTTGTAGAGGTCATTCACATCTTTTGTTAGGTTTACACCTAGGTATTTGTTTTTTGAGGCTATTGTAAATGGAATTGTTTTCATATTTCTTTTCAGTTTGTTCATTATAGTGTATAGAAATGCTAATGATTTTTCTGTGTTGATTTTATATCCTGCTACCTTGCTATAGCTATTGATGGTGTCTCGGAGCTTCTGAGTAGATTTTTTGGGTCTTTAAGGTATAGGATCATGTCGTCTGCAAATAGGGATATTTTGACAGTTTCTTTACCTATTTGTATTCCTTTTATTCCTTCTTCTTGCCTAATTGCTCTGGCTAGGAATTCCAGTACTATGTTGAATAGGAGTGGAGATAGTGGGCATCCTTGTCTGGTTCCTGATTTTAGAGGGAATGGTTTCATTTTTCTCCATTAAGTATAATGCTGGCTGTAGGTTTGTCATATATAGCTTTTATAATGTTGAGGTACTTTCCTTGTGTTCCTAGTTTTCTTAGAGCTTTTCATAAATGGTATTGAATCTTATCAAAGACTTTTTCTGCATCTATTGAGATGATCAAGTGGTTTTTATCTTTGCTTCTGTTAATGTGGTTTATTACGTTTATTGATTTTCGTATGTTGAACCACCCCTGCATCCTGGGATGAAGCCTACTTGGTCGTGTGAATAATCTTTTTGATGTGTTGTTGAATTCGGTTTGCCATTATTTGTTGAGGATTTTTGCATCAATGTTCATTAAGGAGATTGGCCTATAGTTCTCCTTTTTGGAGGTGTCTTTGCCTGGTTTTGGGATAAGTGTAATACTGGCTTCATAAAATGTGTTGGCAGTTTTCCTTCCCTTTCTATTTCATGGAACAGTTTAAGAGGGTTGGTATCAGTTCTTCTTTAAAGGTCTGATAGAATTCAGCAGAGAATCCATCAGGTCCTGGACTTTTCTTTTTGGGGAGACTCTTGATTGCTGCTTCAATTTCATTTTGTGTTATAGATCTATTCAGGTGATTAATTTCCTCTTGGTTCAGTTTTGGATGATCATATGTATCTAGAAATCTGTCCATTTTTTAAGATTTTCAAATTTATTTGAATATAGGTTCTCAAAGTAGTCTCTGATGATTTCCTGGACTTCCATGGTGTTTGTTGTTATCTCCCCTTTT